GCTCGCATCTCCAATTATTCCTATTGTGGTAAAATTCAAATGGCATAAAACTTTGTTTTTTGAGACAGGGTGTTTATGGGTAGCCCCGGCTACCCTCAGAGTCACAGTCTTTCTGCTTTTGTCTCCTGAGCGCTGGGATTTATGAGTGCACCTCCATGCCTGGCTTCAATTTTCCTTAAGGGTCTGGTTTAGTTGCATTAATCATACTCATACTGCTATGCAATCACCACGATCCATTCCTAGAATTCTTCTCACCTCACAAAACTGAAATTTTATACCCATTAACCCCCACCCACCCACCCACACCTTCCCCTGGGACCACAATTGTACTCTGCATTTCTGATTTTGAATACTCTAAGTTGCTTCATGCAATTGGAGTCATACAATATGCCTTAAAAAAAAAAAAAAAACTAGTTTTTTTTCTCACTTGTCCTAATCTCAGATTTCATCTGTGTTGTAGCATTCACAATTGCCATTTGTCCTAGTTTGATTTCTGTTCCTGTGATCTAATGCCATGATCAAAAACAATTTATATACCTCAGTCACAGCCCGTCACTGAGGGCAGTCAGTGTAGGAACTCAAGCAGGCACAGAGGCTTCTTTCTTTCTTTCTTTCTTTCTTTTTTCCTTCCTTCCTTCCTTCCTTCCTTCCTTCCTTCCTTCCTTCCTTCCTTTCTGTTTTTGTTTGTTTGTTTTGTTTTGTTGAGACAGGGTTTCTCTGTGTAGCCTTGGCTGTCCTGGACTCACTTTGTAGACCAGGCTGGCCTCTAATTCAGCAATCTGCCTTCCAAGTGCTGGGATAACAGGCAGGAGCCACCACACCTGGCTTAGGCTACTTTACTTATATGCCCCAGGTACCTGCTCACTGTGGGCTGCCCCCTACCCCATCAATCATTGATCAAGAAAATGCCCCACAAACATGTCTAGGAACCATGCTGCTGGAGGCAATTCCTCAGCTGTGGTTTCCTGTTTCTGGCTGACGCTGGTTTGTACCGAGTTGACAAAAACAAACCAGCATAACTTTTGTGATTGATTGACTGATCGATTGATTATGGAACTAGGGATTGAATCTAGGGTCTTGAACACGCTGGGCAAGGGCAAATGCTTCCCCTGGGCTCCATCTAGTCTCAGTTCCTTTTTTTACCTTTTACTATGAGACAGGTTCTCAGGCTAGACTTCGACTCCCTCTGTAGTTCAGACTTCTGTCCACCTGTCTGTCCTTCCTTCCATCCTTTTTAAAGATAGGCTCTCTCCCCTTTAAAAGAAATTGTGACAAGGATGCTGAGCTGTAGCTCTCCACAGCTGATGGCTTCTGTGGGGGGAGGGGCTGGCCACTGGGAGTTTGACCATGCTCCAGGGAGTATATGGACAACATATATGTTGAGTATATGGGCTCTTCTTCTTCCTCCTCCTCCTCCTCTTCTTCATTTGGGGGGATATCACAGGGTTGGAGAGCAGACCTGGGAGAGTAGGGAAGTGAGTGTAATCAGGGTTAGATGATTTGAAACTCCCAAATAATCAAGAGAAACAACCAATAAGATTCCCAAATCATCGATAAAAGTCAAATATGTTGGAGGAAAAAGGTTCTCTCTGTCATGTAGCTCTGGCTGTCCTGGAACTTGCTCTGTAAACCAGGCTGGTCTCAAACCCACAGAGCCCCACCTGTCTCTGCCTCCCTACTACTGGGATTAAAGGCGTGTGCCACTACTGCCTGGCCTCCAAATTATTTTTTTTTATCTTTTATTTATTTACTTTTATTTTATGTGCATTAGTGTGAAGGTATCATATCCCTTGGAATTGGCATTACAGTCAGTTGTGAGCTGCCATGTGGGTGCTGGGAATTGAACCTGGGTCTTTTGGAGAAGCAGACAGTGCTCTTAACCACTGAGCCGTCTCTCCAGCTCGAAGGCTATCTTTTAAAAAATACTAAATTGTGTGTGTGTGTGCACGTGCAGTCGAGTGTCTGTCTATTCACGTGCATGCAGGAGCCTGTGCAGGTCAGAAAAGGTGTCAGATTACAGACCAAGTGGCTGTGAGCTGTGCGGTGTCAGTGCTGGGAACCAAAGTCTGGTCCTATAGAAGAGCAGCAAGTGCTCTTAACTGCCGAGCCATCTCTCCCGCCTCTCTCATTTTCTAAAATTGTATTACAGTAGTTTATTCAGAGAGAGAGTGTGTTTGTGAGAGCGAGCGAGCAAGCATGTGTACGCGCCTGATACACATGGAGGCGAGCTAACTCCTTGCAGGAACTGGTTCTCCCTGTGTGGGGCCTGGGGACTGAACTCAGGCTGCAGGTGCTTTTACCCAGAGACCTACTGCACTCTCCCTCCATCTCCTGCCATTTGTTTGTTTATTTATTTAAAAACTTGAGGCAAAGTCTCCCTGGCTGGCCCGGAGCTCACCACGTAGAGCAGGCCAGCCTCACATTCATAGAGATCTGCTTGACTCTGCCTCCTCAGCGCTGGGATTGAAGGCACATAGAACCATATCTGTGCCTCCTTTTAATTTAAAAAATAAAAGGGGAGGGTGGCTGAGAGAGATGGCTCAGCAGTTAAGAGCGGTGGCTGCTCTTCCAGAGGACCCAGGTTCAATTCCCAGCGCCCACATGGCAGCTCACAACTGTCTGTAACTCCAGTTGCAGAGGCTCCAACACCCTCATACAGATGTACTTGCAGACAAAACACTAATGCACATAAAATAAATAAATGATTTTTTTAAAAAATGGGGCTAGAGAGTTAGTTCAGGGGCTAGAGCAACTGCTGCTCTTCAGAGGACCCAAGTTCAGGTCCTAGCACTGTCAGGCAGCTCACAACAGCATGTAATTTTGGCACCAGGGGACCCGATGCCTCCAGCCTTCACACGTACCCACGTACCCCCACACAATTAACAATAAATCTCATTGTGTGTGGTATGATGAGCACACCATGGAGTTTGGGAACACCAGAGGCTGGCCTGCAGATGGTTTTCTCCTTCCACTTCTTTCTTTTTATTATTTAATTTTTGAGTCAGGGGCTCACTATGTAACCCTGGTTGGCCTAGAACACAGAGTGTAGATCAGACTGTCCTCCGCTTCCCACACGCTGGGATTAAAGGTGTCCACCGAGCCCGGTTCTCCTCCCGCTTTGCTGTGGGGTCCCAAAAGCAGACAAAGGTCACTGGACGTGTGCGACTATCCCCTTCACCTGCTGAACCATCTCCCTGACCTACCTCTTCCTCTTTATCCCCCGGGGTTGGGAAGGAAATCCAGGGCTATGCTCGCTGGACGAGCACTGCATACCCGAGCTGTCTCCAGCCAAGCCACTGCTCAGGGGGTAAACGTGCTTTTTAGCGGCAAAGCAGTACCTGAAGCATAGGTCATTACTTACAGGCAACAGCCGGAGCCACGCACGGAGTCACGCACGGAGTCAGGAAGACATGACAAATCACTGTTTAGGTGGGGGTGAAACCGAGAGCAGAGATCCGGAGATAAGCAAGTTTGAGAAGCAAATGGTAAGTGCGCCCCCTAGTGGCCTCTTCGAGATCCCACCTCCTCTAGCCAGCCTCGCCGGCCTGGTTAATTAATAGGGAAGGTGTTTTGCCAGCCATTCACACCTGATCTTTACCGCTCCCTGACGGGCTCATTTCCAGACCAACACTTGCTAGGCACTTGGCTGTACTGATCTCTCTCCTAGGAATTGGATAGGATCGCCTCTGAGTTGTTAACCGTGCCAGCCCTGTAAATGCTTTATAAAGAGTCAAGAGGAGAACATACTTGTTTGTTTTGAGTATCAGAGCAAGTAAAAGGCTGGCAGAATAGGGGGTGAGGTGAGAAAACCCTGTGCCCTGGGAAATGAAACAAAAGGAATGAACTCCGCCCCTGCCATGTACTCAACCTTCGCTGAGTAACTACCATTAACTGAGGTCACGGAGGGAACATGACATGACTCAGATGCCACCTGCGACTCCCGGAGCTCACAACCCAGCGGGGAGACAAGATAGGTAAACAAAGGAAGGGATACCGTGTGTGCTCAGGGTCCTGTTGGCAAACCCAGGGCGTGGAACAGGGAGTGCCAGCCGCCTGGGTCAGTTCTGAGCTTAGCTGAGTGCTGGCAAGGGGGGAGGTAATCCAAATTGGCAGGTACAAACACAGGCACCGGGGACACACGGAGGGCATCTGTGGAGAGGACACAGCTGGGGAAACTCCACGGCTGTCCCCGACCTCTCCTGGAACATGGGACCTCCGAACTTCCCTACCACGGTTCAGATCTAGTCATACCATAGCAGCTCTGGACCTGGGGAACTCGGGCCTCGCCGTCAGCCTCCTGGCCTGTGGATGCCATTAACACTCACCCCATGATGACGTGCCAAGCCAAAGAGTGTCACGTAAGGCAGTTCAGTGGTGTGAGGGCTGGCAGCGCTCGGCACACGGGAGCTCTTTGCAATCAGGCCTGACTCTTTTGGCACCTCCCAAGTGGCTGGAGCCCTGGAGAGGGTGGAGTGGCTTACCTCAAGTAGTGGCTGCTCGGCAGGAGCCTGGGAAGGGGCTGCATGTCTGCGAAAAGGCCACAGGCTCTTGGATGGGCAGGGGTGGTCTGTGTCTGGTAACATGGAGCTGACTACCAGGGATCAAAGCCCCCAACAGCCTCACCCCACCTGAGTAGGTCTGTTGGTGGGCACCGAAAAAACCGTGACAGCCGTGACAGCAACACCCACCCCTACTGCCATGGCCCCCACTCTGGTGGTCAAAGGTGACACTTTTCTCCACCCGAGGAGCCAGGGCAGTTTCAGGAGAGGTTGGAAAACCTGCTGAACAGGGTGGCCAGAGGCTGAACCAGTTGAACAGGACAGACTGATCTCCCCCACCAGCAACCCCACAGAACAGGGAGAGGAAATAGTTCAGTGGTCCAGCACCTGCCTAACACACACGTCTTACATCTTAGCATTGGGAAAAAAAAAAAAAAAAGCAAAGACAACAGGAAGGGTGGAGAGACAGGGGAAGGAACGAACTAAAAAAAAAAAAAAACGTTTATATTTTTTCCTTTAATCTCATTTTTTGTGGTGCTGTATAGAGCACTCAGGGGTCACACATGCTTTACCACTGAGCTATGGCCCTGGTCCCCCTGAGCAATTATTTACAGCAGGAACTATAACGAAACATCCTTCAGTGTTGGACTGTGCAAAGCCGAAGGACAGCTGTGGAGAGTGTCAGCCAGCGGCCTCTGACACCACTCTAGGGCCTAGCATCATTGGATGAGGACAGGCAGCTCTGAACAGGACACCAAGTGCCAACTTCCTCTGGCTCCTGGGCAAGCAGGTCCTTCTATGTACAGCACTCCTGGCTCAAGGCTGCTCTGCACCTCCCAGGCTCTTGGGCCTTTTCCAGAACTGGCCTGAGTGCAGCTGAGGCTCCTCCGAGAGGCCCAGAGATGTGGCTTCTGAGACAAAGTATGCCCGAGAGGGAGGCAGGAGAGTCTGGTCCCAGGTTCTAGCCTCTGTCTCTGCAAGGGGGACCTGGTGAGACTGGCGAGTCCCGGGCTCAGAGGGGCCGGGTGGTGTGATTATAGACCAGGTGTTCCGTGTCCTCGGTGGTGGAAACGGTGGAACTGGCTGGGGTGGGCGGTTGGTAGTGACTTCGGAAGTCCTTTCTCTGGTTCTTCAAGAAACAGTAGCTGAGGATGGCCACGACCACTATGATGCAAATGACCAGGAGCACAGCAATGGCCACCTCCACAGAGCCTGGGGGAGGACAGAGTGCTGTTCCCGAGGCCTGTCTGGTTCTGATGCCCACTACCCTCACTCTACGGCATGGACCAAGGCCATACATGTCATGTGTAGAAGCAGATGGACACCCAACTCAGACCTCCATAAACAGCAGCTTCCAGACGCCCCAAGGGGCTCCGGCCGCTGACAGTCGGCAGGCAATTCACTGCGCCTCCCCCCTTTACCTATCCCAGGGCTCACTACTCAATGGTGCACTCTGGGTAACTTCAGGATCCTTCTCAACATGGCTTGGGCATTCCTGAGCCAGTTCCTGAGCGGACACCTATGTGTCCAGGCTGGTGACAGGACAGACCAGGGCTTACCTACGCTGGGGGCGGAGCTCTCCCTCCGAAGACCAAACACATCCTTCTCTGCAAAGCGACACGGAGAAGCCAGTCAGCACGAAGCCCTCAGACCCGGCTGCCCAGCGCCACAGCCCCTCTGCCTCCCACCCCTGCTGCCACCGATGTCACTTAGTAGAGGAGTGACGCCACCGCAGGCCTAGCTAAATCTTCCCCTTCACCCTGCCACTGCCACTCGGCTCACTGGAGACGCCTCGACAGGACTCAAGGCACTGCTGTTCCTCCTCAAAGTTGTTCTTGTTGCCGTAGCAACCGCCATAGGTGAAGCGGGCACAGCGCTCACTGAATGGGTTGTAATACCAGCGTGGGATGTTCTCCTTGCAGAGCCCAGTGTCTGGCAGTTCCGCACAGTACCCTGCGGGAAGGGAGCACGCAAGGGAGGGAGTGAGCCCACGGAGCCGCCCCGCCGCCCCCTCAGTGACAGCCCACCCCAGGCTGAGGGCAGCTGTGGCTTTCCTAAGGCCCACCTGTAGTACTTTCAAAGGCCAGGACCACAAACTGGCCAGCAATATTGGGCGCCAAGAGAACTGCTGCTCAGACTCATGTTTCAAAAACACACTTTTGTTATTTTTTTACTTTTTATTTGGCTATGTATGTATGTATGTATGTATGTATGTATGTATGTATGTATGTGTGTGCATGTGCCATGACGTGCAAGTGCACAGGGGAGGTCAGATGACAACCGCTGGAGCTGGTTTTCTCCTTCCAACATACTGGCTTCCAGGGATCCAAAGGAGGTCATCTGGCTCAACAGCCGGTGCCTTTATCCCATCAAACCACCTCGCTGGCCCCATAGTTTTCCTTTTCAATGGAACTTTCCTGTGTCAAGGTCTCTGACTCTTACCACCCAGTGATTTAAACTTTTAACAAAAAGAGTGGGCCTTTGGCAAGAAAGCTTCCCGCTTACGGGGTGGCTATCCCTTTGGGGGTCAAGTAACCTTTCACCTAAGACCATGGGAAAACAGGTATGTACATTATGATCCATAACGGTAGCAAAATTACAGTTATGATGTAGCAACAAAAGTAATTCTATGGTTGGGGTCACAACACGAGGAACTGCATTCAAGGGCCACAGCATTAGGAAGGTTGAGACCCAGTGAGCTTAAAGGTTTTTTTCTTGGTTGTTATTGTTGTTTTAGACAGTTTTGTTTTGTAGCCCTGGCTGTCCTGGACCTCACTCTATAGACAAGACTGGCCTTGAACTCAGAGATCTGCCTGCCTCTGTCAGGGATCAAAGGCCTGTGCCATCATGCCTGGGCAATTTTTTTCTCTAATAGAGGATATCATTGTGTATCACAGACTGGCTTTGAATTCTCTATTTGGCAGACGATGACCTTGAACTTCTGATCCTCCTGGCCTAAGCCATCATTACCAGACTATTATGTTTATTTTTAATAGATGTTACATTTGCATCATGGGTTTTTTGTTTGTTTGTTTGTTTCCTCTCTTCCCCCAGTAGTGGTAAGACACAAAGTTCCTTGCAATGTAGGTTGAGTGCTCTACCATTGAGTCCAGCCTCAGTCCCTGGTGACAGAGGTGTCAAGTGCCGGTGGCTTAACATGGATGACAGAACTATTTCCCGAACACACAGGATTCAGTGATAATGTTCAACGAGGCTACAGTAATGAAGTAATCAGACAACGGGTGCCTAGTGGTGTCTGGGAAATGAGCCAAGAGAGCTCAACAGGAGAGCTGAGAAGGTCCTGGCTCTGTGGCCAGGGCCTGCACACACAGCAAACCCCTGGGACGCTGCTGGTTAGAAGCAGTGGAGCTGGCGGCGTCAGAACCTGCCTTGACACAGGAACGGGGAGACACTCACCTTTGTCACTGAGGAAGTGGATACTCTGAAGCTCATCGAAGCCACTGGTGTCTGCAGGGATGAAAGGTCAGAGGCTGAGGCCCAACATGGGGAACCCAGAGGCAGAAAGGAGAGCTGTGAGGCTCTCCCCACCTGCTCCCCACCCCTTCTCCTGTTCCCCGGCTCACATTTTTCACAGGTGGCCTCATCGGAGCCATCAGGGCAGTCTGGGGTGTCATCACACTCCAGGAAGCCATCGATACAGCAGCCATTGCTGCAGCGGAACTGGGTGGAATGGCAGCTTCCGGAGCACACTGGGGAAGGGTGAAGCGAAGCTCAGGCACAGAGCGGGTACCAAGGGGGCCATCATCGACCTCGGCCCTCTCTATCAGGAGCCCACTCTTCACCAACCCCAGCTCCTCCTGTATGTAAACTGGGTGGATCCTGACAGGAAGTTGTGGAGTTGGAAGGGCTAGGTGTTTGTATACTATTGGGGAGGTGGGGGAAGGGGGCCGAGCAAAGGCAGATTACTCATGGGTCTGGTCATCATATGGGCTGAAGACCAAGACGGGGGAGGAAACAGGGAAAGAAAAGTAAAACCCACCTGGATGATGCCTTTTAGGTGAGATTCCTGGGGGAGAAAACAGGATTTATGGGTGACGTGGCCAGACTCTACCCATGATGAGATGAGATGCGGGCACCCCCATCCCACGTCCCTGACCAGAAAAACCACCCACCCTGGGCAAAGCCACCCGAGCCCCGAAGCTGCCTCTCAGAGACCCACCCTGGACATCCTTGCAGGCCAGCATGCACTCCTCTTCCCGCAGGTAGTTGTTTTTGTTGCCCAGGCAGCCTCCGTAAGTGAAACTCTTGCAGATCTGTTCCTTGGGGTCGTAGTACCAGCGTGGGAAGGAACCCCGGCAGCGGCCCACCTTGTAGGATGCGAGGCAGTAATCTAGACGGAGGAGAGCTTGTGAGTTAGGGCCAGAGGGTCAGCAGCGCAGCGAGGGGAGCTCTGGGCGCCTCGTGCCCACTGCGAGTCACCTTCTGTCTGCTTGGCAGTTAGCACGGTGATGGTCAGATTGGCTGTGTCCTCTGGCTGGTCGGTTCTTGTCAGCTGGAACATGTAGGTTCCTTCCTTCAGTCCCCACAGCTCCACTTCATCCGGATGCTTTCTCTGCACACGAGACCGATCATGAAGCTTGGACACTTCCTGATGCTCTGACCACCCCAGGTCCTCCCGGCCACACACCCGGTCCCTGGGAGAGCACGGGGACTCAGTAGCCAACAAATCCTGATCTTTCCGCTAGCCAACACCAAATGAGCCAGTGGTTGGCCTACAGCCCAGGAAGGAGTCCCAGGAAGCTGTGGGCAAGGCCAGGGACCCAGCCCACTGTCTCACCTCTACTCTGGCATCTTTGTCACCTTGCAGCAGGTGCCAGTCTGTGTTGTCTCCATCTCTCAGCACCAGGGGTTGCTGCCGCTGTACCTTCAAGTCTATGCCCACCCAGGTTCGAGGGATCTGGGACCCTGAGGGACAGGAAGTAAAATCGGCTGTCAGTGGATAGATAGTCTAAGGCTTGCTTGGTAAACAAGAGGGTGGTAGCCATCCTAGGACTCAGAAGCCCGCAGAGGCACAAAGAGGGCTCTCAACAAAGCCAGTACCTTGCTCTCTACATAGTCACATTATCACTAGTATATTGTCTGTAGCAAATAACTGAATACTAAATACTATGTGCTATTTGATCTCACTTAGGAAAAAAATGAAATGGTATGTGTGTGCGCAAACATGGGGATGGGGAGGGGAGAAAAGTCTGTTTTTTAATTTTCTACCATAGGCAGGTACTTCTGCTGACTTCTTAAAAAAAGTTCAAGCAACAATTTCTTTAAAAGCCAAACCAAACCAAAAAAAAAAAAAAAAAAAAAAAAAGTGTGTGATGAGAAAGTCATCGTTTAGCCCGGCAATGATGGCATATGCCTTTAATCCCAGCACTTGGGAGGCAGAGGCAGGCAGATATCTGTAAGTTCAAGGCCAGGACAGCCAAGGCTTTACAGAGAAACCCTGTCTCAAAAAAACCAACCAATCAAACAAACAAACAAAACAAAACCCAAAAAGGCATCATTCCTCTGGGTTTGCAGATAGAGCCCCACCGGTAGACTGCTTGCCTGGCATTGACAAGCACTTGGATTAGATTCCCTAGTGCTAGCTAAAACCAGGACTGGCATGCCTGGGATCCCAGCACTCAGGAGGTGGAAGCAGGAGGATCAGAAAGTTGTCGTAGGATACACAGCAAGTCTGAATTCAGCCTAGGATGCAAAATACTAGATTTTGAAAAACAAACAAACAAACAAACAAACAAATGGGTACTTGGGGGTGGGGTGGTCCTGGTAGATGGCTCAGTAAGAGCAAAGGCCCTTAAACCCACATGGTGGCTCAGGATCATCCATAACTCCAGTTGCAGGTTTTCTGATGCCCTCTTCTGGCCTCTGTGGGCACCAGGCACTCAAGTGGTGCACAGACACACACTAGTGACAAATACATTCATACACAACAAGAAAAACAAACAAACAAACAAACAAAAAGGTGTCGCTCCTCCCTAGCCCAGACCATGCTGAGTGCTAGGGGAAACAACAGAGATGGCCCTGGTGTGGCAGGGTGAGGGACGGTGAGGGACGATGGGACAAGGTGCCTCTGCCATCAACTACAAGGGGTTTTCAGGAGCCACAACTTTCCTGGCTGGACCCAACAGCTTGAGCGTGAGGCGGCCTTCATCTGAGTGTTAGGGTCACGTCAGGGCCGTAAGCACAGAGACCCCATCCTCGACCCCACGAATATGAACGTATTTGGAAAGGGTCTTTGTGTAAGTGGTGATGTGAAGGACGTCTAGATTATCAGGGATAACCACCATTGTAAGAACTCGAAGCGGCAAAGTGCCACGCTATCGACTAACATGTGCCAGGCTACATCTCCCCCACCAGGGTCATGGTTAGGACACTTCGAAACAAAACAAGGACAGGGAGAATGCTCTATGACTAAAGTACTACCTTAGGAGCACAGGGACTTGAGTTCAATTCCCAGAACCCATATCAAAACGCTGGATGAAATGGCAAGCACTCACACCCCAGCCCTGGGGAGGCAGAGACAGGAGGCGCTCTGGGGCTCCCTGGCTGGCCAGCCTGGCCGACATGTGAAGCCCCAGACTAGTGAGACATCCATTCTCAAGCAAAGACAAAAAGATGGATGGTCCCCAAGGAATGACACCCGAGATCGTCCTCTGGCCTCCGCACACACATCTATGCACACGTGTGTATTCACACCACATTTCATGACACATACATTAAAACACAAGAAACAGGAAAGCCAAACATGGTGACTTGGTGGCACACATTTGCAACCCCTGCACTTGAGAGTCTGAGACAAGAGGGTCTCGAATTTAAGACCAGTTTTGTTACACAGAGTTCCATGTCAGCTTACACTGCAGAGCATGATCCTGTCTCAAAACCAAAACCAAACCAAACCAACAAACCAAAACAAAACACCAAGTCGGAGAAGGTAGCAGGGTGGGCCATCAGAGGAAATGGAAGCTTTCAAGAGAAGGGAAGACAGACTTTTAACATTTTTTTTAAACTTGATTATGGGGAAGAACAGGGGATATCTGTGAAATAATTCCCCACGAGCAAGTTACCAATCACCTGACTTATTAACCCAGTTAAGAGCACAGTGAGCCCTTAATGTGCTTAGAGTATGGTTAAAAAAGAAAAAAAAAAAAAAAAGGAAAAGGAAAGAAAACCACAAGAAACTGTGCTGAAGAGTTGGCTTAGTAAAGTGTCTGTCATGTAAGCAGGAGGTTCTGAGCTCAAACCCTGGCATCCACGTGAAAAGAGGCCTAGTGGTTTTTCCACATGTGTAATCCCCCACACTAGAGGCAGAGACAATATGATCCCTGGAGCTCGCTGGCCACAGACTCAGTGGGCTGCAACTGAGTCCTCTGAAAAAGACCCTGTCTCGAGAAAGGTAGAGCCAGGGCTGGAGAGATGCCTCAGCAGTTGGGAACACTGGCTGCTCTTCCAGAGAACCTAGGTTCGATTCTCAGCACCCGCATGGCAGCTCACAAGTGTCTGTAACTCCAGTCCCAGGGGATCTGGCACCCTCACACAGACATACATGCAGGCAAATAAATAAATAAATAAAGCTTAAAAAAGGGTGGGGGGGAATGGAGCCAGATGTGGCAAATTCACTCCAGAGACAGAAAAAGGTGGATCTCTTTGAGTCTGAGGCCTGATGACTACAAAGTGAGACCCTGTCTCAAAACAACAAAAAACAGGGACTAACCGAGGAAGGTACTTGATGTCCACCTCTGCTCGCCCCACCCCCATAGGTGCACACCTAACTACACATACACCACACACGCACACACTCTAAAGTAACTAACAACAACAGCAAATAAACTGAAAAGGAATTAGGAAGCTGTAAGGCTACCTCTGTGGACAGTAAGGACATGGCTGGGCAGGGACAAACCTTAGAGTTTTCTGGATGTATGTCAGGGTGCTTGGGAACACCAGGAGTGCCCGTCAAACATTAGACAAACAGTGATACGGGGAGAAAGCAGTGCACAGGAGCTGCGGAAGCCTGGCTACCCTAGCTCTTGACCTCTGTAATGTATAATGAGTTTCAGGAGTCCTGCGGGAGGGGCCTAGGGTCCCGAGGCTCCGGCTCCGGCTCCGGGCACCAGCACTGAAACATCTGACTGGAAGAGTTTCTGTGGCACAAGAAGGCTGGCAGGTGAACAAGGGCCAGAGGTGCAGGAAGGATGTGACAGCAGGGGTCTGAGTCACAGGGCAGCCAAGGAAAGTAAAGAAATAGAGAAACACCAGTGGGCAGACACTTTCAGCTTCTCCCGAGAGGCTCTGGAAATGGGGAAGGAAGACCCAGAGCCAAGCAGAAGAGGAAGATGAAGAAAAGAAGTTGTGGTTTCCTCACAGAGAAGCTGAACTTGAAGCAAAACACACACACACACACACACACACACACACACACACACACACTCTCTCTCTCTCTCTCTCTCTCTCTCCCTCCCTCCCTCCCTCTCTCACCGACAGACTTAGAGATACACTAATAAAGGGAATAAAGCTGCAGATTGGTGCATGCAGGGAGTGTGTACCGGACACCACAGCAGGCTACACCAGGGGGTTAGCCTGGGTGGACAATCATCAGGCTAGCTATCTGTCCTCTTTCATCTGGCGTGCACAAGGCCCTGGCCTTGATTGGCAGCGGAGTGGGGGTGGGGTACTTGTAAGCTGGAAGGAAGCCCTGCCCCTCCTTGTACTTTGCCTATGGCTGCTTTTCCATGGTGGCCATGGTGGCCGTGGTGATCACCACACCTGCTGTGCAGTGCATGGCACAGAAAACCTAAAATACGCAGTATTTAGGCTACTCACTTCACCTCATAGCCACCCTGCTGTGCCTGCATTTTTCACTCTTACTGGATGAGCAAATTGACATGGCTCAGTTCTTATCCATGAACTCTAGCACCATGACTCAGTTTTCAAATGTTAAAAGTGAGATTTGAACCCAGGCCTGTCTTTCTCCATTGCTCACGCCCTACCCAAAATGGCACTCTGAGCCAGTAACATGGCTCGGCAGGGGAAGGTATCTGCCACCAAGCGTGACCTGAGTTTGGTCCCCAGGACCCACAAAGAGGAGAGAGAACAGATTCCTGTACATTACTCTCTGACCTCCGTGACTAGAGAGCACCCCCTGACAAATGAACATACAAACAAATATAAAAACAAAACAAAGCAAACAAACCTTAAAAACTCAGGGTTCCTTACAGGCATGTTTTCTCTAGAGTGGGGAAGGGGATCAGGAAAGAGAATCTACTAAAAAGAAAGTATTTTTTTTCTCTCTCTCTCATTTAGACAGGGTCTCACTGTGTAACCTGACTGGCCTGTAACCTAGCCAGGGCTAGCTTTCAGACTTGAAAAACTCACCCTCCCCAGGGCTGAACCCACAGATCTGTGCTCTCCTGTCAGGCCGAGGGAAAGTATTTAAATTCATTTCCTTCCTAAACCATATGGCCTTAGGGATTTGTATTACTACATTTGTTTGTTTGTTTAGTATGTATATGTTGTGCTTCTGTGTGGGCACAGTCATGTCAAGGACGTGTGTGGAGGTCCGAGGACAACCTCTGGGGGTCAATTCCCTCCCTCTATGGCATGGGCTCTGGAGAACAAACCAAGTGGCCAGGCTTGGTGGCAAGAACCTTTACCCACTGGGCCGTCTTGCCAGCATGATTTTATTATTATTCAAATGGCATCACAGTATTCAGCTAAAGTATGTGCGGACATTATTCTCTAAAGTCGTTTCCTAGTCATCATTATTGTAAATAATTCCAGCTGGCAAGCCACTGCCCAAATGCATGCGTGAAGCCTCCAAGTAGGAGTGTGTCAAGGGTGGCTCTACAGAGGGTTATGGAGAGCGTAAAAGTGCTCAAAGAGCAACTCGATAAGGACAGCTGTAGGGGCCTGAGTCACAGCGAGGAGACTTTGTGACAGGGTAATGAATGGGAGAGTAGAGGTTTCGCAGGGACATAGGCCAAATAGTACTGAGACCTACAATCTGAGAAAATGGGAACTGGGTTCCAGGGACTTAGGAAAAAGGAGGCAGGGTTTTCTGGGCCTAGTGTCACGGGTCTGTAATTTCAAACATTGAAAAGACAGAGGCAGGAAGATCTAAGTTCAGGAACTACACGGGCTATCAAGCTAGTTCAATGTCGGCCTTATGGGACCCCATCTCAAAGTTTTATAAAAAAGGCCAGGGATGTGGCTTGGTGGTAGAAGCCTTTCTTAACAGGGAAGCTCAAGGTTGGAGCTAGGGTAAAAGAAAGGAAAAAAAAAAAAAAAAGGAAAGAAGAGAAAGCAGGGAACAAAAGGGTAGGGAAGCAAGAAGGCAAAAGAGGAACAAAAAGTGGTCACCTGGAACAAGGCTGGCCAGGGGCTTGGTTGGACTCACCAGACCCTTCGTGATAAGCCGGGGCCAGGAGGAACCTGTTGTAACTGTGAAAAAACTACCAGCTGTAGGAAAGGGGGAAGGAGATGAACACACTACAGCCGTCTAGTCCCAGCCCCCCTCAGTGGAAGTGACAGGCAGAGGGTGGGGAGGAGCAGTCCCCCCACCCTCCTGAACAGGTGCCAAGCTCAGAGACCAAGGGGTAAATGCCCTACCCTAGCCACCACTCCCTTCTTCCTTACCCTCAAGAGAGCAAAGGGCTGGAAGGGCAATAAAACCAGGCCTCAGGATGTAACCAGGCAAATGCAGATTCCATCTCCTAAGCCAACAGGCCGTGGTGGAGGGGCACAGGTACAAGAAGGACCGAGTTACTGGCCTGGGATCTGGCCTGTCCTGGCCACAAGCTGGGAAAAGGGATCGAAACCACCCATTCTGGGAAGGATTCCTTCCATCAACACAGGAATCGATGGCTTAGGCATCCTGACATATCCCCTCTAGTCTACCAGCCAGACTTGGCGGACAGTGGGGCCACTGACACACTTAGCTCCCCTACTCCCTCAAGTACAGCAGCACCCTGACGTGGCCTAGAATGGCCTGAAGGGCACACAGCCTGAGCCCTACCCAGCTCCTTAAATGTTCCAGGAAATCCCCACTCTATCCTATTTCACGCCACATGGGCCATTTCTGGGGGTTTCCAAAAGAGGAAGGCTGGCCCATAAGCCCAAGTGGCCCAGATCCAGACACTCAGGTGCTGGCCCCGGACCAGGTCACCGGCAAGCTTCTGTCAGAGTAGAAAGGCACCACATCCCACAGGAGTCCCCACCACCTACACTAAGGCTGCTTCCTTGTGGAACAGGCTCCGGCCCTGACCAAGTGAGCTTCCACGGGCCAGCCTAGCCCACAGAGGGCATCTCCCACTTTCCAGAATCCCCACCTCAGGTGTTCCCAGAGACCAAGGAGAGCTGTTGGCAGGTTAGAGAGAACAGCAGACCCTTAGTCTGCAATAGGTAGTAGCTCAGAAAAAAGGCCGGAGAGCCTGCACTGGTCCTGTCCCCCGAACTCACTCTGGCTCTGTTAGCTGCTGGGTTATGAGATGTGAGTGCTAGGGTTCTAACAGAAAGGTGGTCCTATGTGAAACACAATAGGACTTTTGGAGTAGGCCCCCAGGCTTACCATTTAGGGATGTTACCCTGGGAAATTCATTATTTTCTTCTTTCGTTTTTCAATACACGGTTTCTCTGTGTAGCCCTGGATGCCCCGGAACTCACTCTGTAGACCAGGCTGGCCTCAGACTCAGATCCCATTTGTCTCTGTCTCCAAAGTTCTAGAGCTAAAAGTGTGTGCCACTTCACCAGATATGGACAAATAATTTAACGCAGGAGGCGCAGTTTCCTGTTCTAAAAAGCAGATACAAGTAGCACCTCTTCCAGAGACTGGAGACAGAGAGGGGAACCTGCATCATGAGTGAAATATGAAGGACCAGCAGAAGTTATGACTGTAACCCACTCCTGGCAAGAAAGAACAGGCAGAGAATGATAAAGAAGCACATGCCACAGCCATGCTCACAACTGACTGCGCAGTCCGTCCTGAGACAAAAGGGAGGATCTCTGTTCCCACTTTGCCTCCATCCTCAGAAGTAAACAAGGTGAACAGACAGCTAGGCTATCACATCCTAAGCAGGGACAGCCCTGCTTGGCTCACGAGGACAGGCGCGCACACACACACACCTGCCTGGGCAGCTGACATCCCTCACCTACCACATACACATACCAGCAGGTTGACTCACCCCGGCAGGCCTCACCAAAGAGAGAGCCTCTAGGAGACTGTACCCACAGCACGGTCCCCTTCCCTGAGGAAAACCTTTGCCTGACTTTGTTCTTTATTGTCTGGGGCCTGGCTGTAAAAGCCAATCTAATCCGAGGAGAGAGACGCTAACCTGGCCTTTGAGGAGACCACGGTCAGGTTCATTTGTCAAGGTCTCAAAGTACCCAGGACAGTACTTGGCCAGGGTGCCTTTCTAGTCACTTAGCCACATCAACATTCCCTGACTCAGCCCATCAGCGACAGAGCTAGGAAAACCCAGAGAGCCACCTCATTTCTCTCATAGGCACAGCCCGAGCCAGGCCTTCAGAGAGTCAACTCTGAACATCCTGAGCTCAGGAACCAGAAGCCGGGCCCTAAGATGCCGTCTCTCTCCCGCCTCCTTCCTTTTGTTTATGAAATACTGCCTGCTTCAAAGGCAGTCGATAAAGAGCTCTCCTCCCCAACTTCTTTTCTGCTGTTATTGTTCTCTTCGCCAAGACTCCATAACCTGCCCATCCCTTCGGGCCGACAACCCTCCTCACCTCCAAAGCCTCGGGTCCGCAGCTCGAGGTAGGAGCGGTAAAGGTCCTGGGTAAGATAGTTGATGAAGCCCGCCTTCGGAGCGAACTTGCACACGAAGTTGTGCTCGTACAGGCAGTTCATGAGGAAGCAGGCGGAGATGGCGTCCTCGCCGCCGTCCGGCTGCAGCTCCACCAGCGCCAGGTTGCAGTTCTGGGTAGTACAGCAGGCACGCACGCAGTCCCAGCCGCGGCGCACGGTCGGGGAGCCCAGGAAGGTGGCCCCGTTGCTGACCGAAGCTTCCGTGTCGAGCACAAAAGACGGCACCCCGCTGGTAAAGCGGCTCAAGCAGGCGGCTCCCCCGGGAAACTCAGGGGGTGCAGACGGCACCCCGGTCTCAGTGCCCCGGAGACCAAGCGCGCACAGGAGCCACACGCCGACCGTCGAGATGCCGGCCCGCGCCAGGCCGCGGCGCGCCATCGTGCCCCCGGGGGCCGTCGCCCTCCTCCCCAGGGCGGGGGTCACCTTCACAGTGCGGGCCTCCGGGTGCCGACGGGGCTGGAGACCTGAGACGGGAGGGGACGGGAGACACACCTGATCAGCTCGGGCAGAGAGGCGCACGCGGGCCGGTCAGCCCACGCACACTCCGAGCACCGGGCCGCCGACGTCGGGCAGGGCACGGCTCGGGGGCTCGCGGACCCCGGCACCGGACAGGCGGCCGCCGATCATGCTCGGAGCCCGCCGGGCCTCCGCCTCCCGCCCGCCCGGGCTACCTGTGCAGGTGAGCGGGGTGGAGCCGCCGTAGATCCCGCCCGGCTTCCTCCGGGTGCGCGGAAAGTTTAGCTGCCTCCTCCTCCTCCTCCCCCGATTCCAGTTTCTGGTGAAACTGAGTCAGCGCGGCCGGGGCGGGGCGAACATTAACCCCTGCGCCGCCGGCCCCGCCCACCCGCCTTGCCCAGCAGAACTTCCGGCTGGACCCGCCCGGCCGCTCCGCCACCCCAGACCCCACCGCGGCACCCGCTGGTATCCGGACGCCCGGCGGCGTGGGTGAGGCTCGCGTGCCCTGGAGGCGGCCCTACACCGGCTCCACGGAGTCCGGCCAGCTCGTTGGGTACCAGGAGCACCAGGAGGGCATCCCGAAAGCCCACGCTGGGCTGCGACGCCGCTGCGAGGTGGCGCAGGTGCGGCTGCCTCTGGCCTCCCTTTCCGGTTAGAGCCGGTATTCCCTGCCTTTGGCTGGATGGAGGCTTTTGAGAAGGGTTTGGAAGAGGCACGTCGGGGGAAGCTTATGCAAACGATTTCGCCGCCCGTGGCCTGCCCTCGGGACATCATTTCCCGGCAGGAAGAGAACCCCGAAGCTCCGTAGGCCGCGTTTGTGAAAACCAGCCTCCGGGATGCGTGCGGCAGTGGCGCGGCTCAGGACAGCCCTCCGCTCTGCCGGAGTTGACCAACAGGTGATTCCTGGTATCCTGGCTTCCCTGTTTCACCCACTGGAGGAGTGCATTCCCCTTTGTTGGAGCCTCTCCCTCATTTTGTATTAACCTTTCCTTTTGAACTCTTCACCTTTTATTGGTAAGCTGCCCCCTCCCCTGAATCTCAGGTTTACTCTCCTACCCCAAGAGGGGGAACCAGATTCCCAGTGAGTCGTTGACCCCTCTTCCCCAGCCCACTGAAGGGCTCAGTTAGTGGCTCCCACAGAAGAGTAGACACCTTGATGCCAAGCTCATTGCTTTTCCTTAGTGAAAAACACTCAGGCCACCCTCTACATAGCAGGTGTCTACAGGACATCGACGTTCGTCGGTCCTGTTTTTCTTCGAATTAATTTATTTACAAGGCAAGGCCTCGATAGGCGTCGTTGGTTCCGGCCTGGAAGTCACGTTCTTCTGCCTCACTTCCTAGTGCCGGGATTACAGAGAGAAATCACGACATCTGGCAGGATTTGTCCTATTTGTGCTCCCCCCCCCCATAAAAAAAGGAGGACAAGAGAGATGGCCCAACAGTTAAGATCACTTGCTACTTTTTCGGAGAACTGGAGTTCAATTCCCACATCTCAAGACTCACAGCCTCCGGTAACTCCATCTGCAGGGGCTCTGAAGCCCACTTCTGGCTTCCTCAAGCACCTGTGTGAAGATGGCATCTACTCACAGAGACACACCCCTACCCCTACCCATACAACATATCTTAGAGTCTAAAAGATTTCCCAGGCGGTGGTGGCGCATGCCTTTAGTCCCAGCACTTGGGAGGCAGAGTCAGGCAGATCTTTGAGTTTGAGGCCAGCCTGGTCTACAGAGTGAGTCTCAGGACAGCCAAGACTACACAGAGAAACCCTGTCTCAAAATTTTAAATTAAAAAAAAAAAAAAAAAAGTAAAAGAAGGTTACATGTATGAGTGCCCGTACATGTGTGTGCCTGTTGAGACCATCCAGGACAGTGGGTCCTCCAGGAACTGGGGTAACTCTGTGAACTTCCACATGGGGCCGGCAACAGAACCGAGGTTCTTAAAAAAGGAAGTCTTTTCATGCTGTTAACTCCCCCCACCATGAATGTCCCCATTGCTTACCTAAAGTAGTTTCATGTAGTAGATCTTGGTGCCAAGGACCATGTTTTCCTCTGTCAATTGCAAATCCTCCAGCTGTTCACTCTACAGATACTGGGAGCAGAAACTAGTGGATGTCAACCCCTCTCTGGATATTCTGGGTTTCCACAGCCCCTGGCATAGCGATGCCCATATGGTATGCTGGGAAAACAACATGGTTGTGCAGTTGCTGGGGAGGAAGGGCTTTGTCGCAGTTGGATTCCTACCTTCCCAGATAGCTTGTACGTAAGAGAACACTAACACAGGAGAATATCACCTCATCGTAATACCACACTGCCAGAAGTTTGTGATTACATTCATTATGAGCGCGATATTAAAAATACCTATATTTAAAGCAGGGTGTGGTGGTACATGCTTATAATCGAAGCATCTGGTAGGAGGAGGCAGGGAAGATCAGGAGTTCAAAGCCAGTCTTGGTTACAAATTGAGTTTGAGTCCAGCCTGGGCTATATGAGACCCAGAGATAGAGATGAGACGAGGCAAAGCAAAACTAAAGCCTGGTGTTTGGGTTTACTTAACCACCTAGAGATGTAACTCTGGGTGGTAGAACACTTGCTTTATAGGCACAGAAATCTAGAGTTTGGTTCTTCAGCGCTGCACAAACCAAGCAGACACATTCATCAGGCTCTGAAAATACCCAAACCTTGTTCCTAAGCACTTCCCACAAATAACCCAAAGTAAGCCAACCAAACCAAGGAGATAGGTTCTCTTTTATTTCCATTGTACTGAAACAGACAGGTGAGCTAACACGTCAGGTCATACAGCAGCCGCTCGGCTCTAAGGTGGGCCAACTTCATTGATTCAGCACCTAAACCCTGGCCTTTATGGTACTTGCCATTCTGACTTCATCTGGGAGTTCCGCTCTTACTTCGGCTTCACCGGGCCTGAAATGAAATCATTTTTCAAGTGATGAGCAGCCATTTTAGTTTGTTTGTTTTTGCGATGCCCATTGCTGTGGTTTCCATACGGTTCGGTCCCTTTGGAAGCTCGTGTTGAAATTTGCCGTTGCCCCGGTGTCCAGAGGTGGGGCCTTGTGGTGGTAATTAGATCATTAAGAAGGAACTGGGTTGATTCTTGCAGGACTGGATGAGTTACCATGAGAACAGGTTATAGAATGAGGTTGCCCCTTGTGGCTTTTTTCTGCACACACCCATTCACCCCTTCTTTTCCAGTTTTGTTATGACCCTGTGTCAGGCTCCTGCCACGCCTGAGTGTCAGATCTTGGTTGAGTCTCTGGAAGCATTTGCTAGATAAATTGCTTTTGTTGTTTTGGTTGTGGGCTTTTGAGACGTGTGTGTTCGTGTGTTTGTATGGTATGTATGTGTGTATGTATGTATGTATTCGTGTGTGTGTGTGTGTGTGTGTGTAGACCAGAGGTTAATATTGGGTGTCTTCTTCAATTCCTTGCTGCCTTTTGTTGAATTTTTTCTCTTGTTTTCCCTCCAACCCCTGTGAGTGTACAGAGGGAAGGGGCGCATATGTGTTGCTTTTGTGAGGAGGCTCGCAATTGACGTCAGGAATCGTCCGCCAGCAGTCTCACTCACGGAAACCTGGATAAGGGTCTCTTATCCAGCCAGCTTGCTCTGGGATCCCCTCTGTCTTCTACTGTGAGTGTGGAGTTCTAGGCCGGCTGCCTTGCCCGTCTGGCATTTATGTGGGTTTCTGAGGAGCCAAACTCTGGGTCTCACTCTCGCAAAGCAAGCGTTTTAATCGCTAAGCTGTCTCTCTGTCACTTGACCTTAGTGTTTGAGTGTCTCACTGAAACTGGAGCTCGCGGGTTTGCTAGCAAGTGCCAGGGTTCCTCCTGTCTCCATCTCCCAAGGACATTGGGTCCCCCAGGAACTGGGGTAACTCTGTGAACTTCCACATGGGGCCTGGGAATGGAACTGAGGTTCTTAAAAAAGGAAGTCTTTTCATGCTGTAGATCTTGGTGCCAAGGACCATGTTTTCCTCTGTCAATTGCAAATCCTCCAGCTGTTCACTCTACAGATACCGGGAGCAGAAACTAGTGGATGTCAACCCCTCTCTGGATATTCTGGGTTTCCACAGCCCCTGGCATAGCGATGCCCATAATGGTATGCTGGGGGGGGGAAGGGCTTTGTTGCAGTTGGATTCCTACCTTCCCAGATAGCTTGTAAGTAAGAGAACACTAATACAGAAGTGTTAGAATTACAGGTCTGTGCCACCATGCATGGCTCGTCATCAAAGCTTTAAAAATATTTTCCAGTTTTCCTTTAAAGAGCATGGATGCCAGCTGGGCACAGTGGCGCACGCCTGTGTTCCTAGCACTCGGCAGAAGCAGATGGATCTCTGTGAGTTTGAGTCCAGCCTGGTCTACAAAGCAAGTCTAGGACAGCCAAGGATACACAGAGAAACCCTGTCTCAAAAAAACAAAAACAAGGAGTCTGGAGAGATGGGCAGAAGTTAGGAACACTGCCTGTTCTTCCAAAGGTCCTGAGTTGAATTCCCAGCAACCACACGGTGGCTCACAACCATCTATACTGAGATCTGGTGCCCTCTTCTGGTATACTGTATGAATAATAAATAAATCTTAAAAACAAAACAAAAAAACACAGCACGAGTGTCTATAGTAAAGACAGGAACACAGAATGCCAGAATTCATTCTGTTTGGCCTCAAGTCACTCCCCTTTTTACATTCTCTCCCGGTCTCTCTGTACTAGTCTCTTTGCGACCCTCTCTGGCCCCTGTTGCCCTTATCTGCACGGCTCCAGGGACTGACCTAACCGGAGAACATGTCAGTAATAACTGAAATGGAAGACAAGCATCATTACAAAGGAAAACTGACCTTTTTATTGTTTTGAGAGAAGGACTCATGTAGCTGAGGATATCGACCTAATCCACCTGCTTGCCCCTCTCAAGGTCTGGGGTTACAGTCTTAGGACATTGTATCCAGCTCCCTCTCAAAAAATTTATTGAATTGAGCCAGCTGTGGTGGCAGTTCTGTTTATTTAATTCCGGCACTGGGGAGGCAGAGGAAAAGCAGATCTCTGTGAGCGTGAGGCCACCTTGCCTTACATAGTTGGTTCTAAGACAGCCAGGACTACATAAAGAGACCCTGTCTGAAAAAAATTTTATTTTTTTAATAAAGTGTATGTGTATGTTTTGCCTGTTTACATTGAAGTTCACCGTGTGCATGCAGTGGCTGCGGTGACCAGCAGAGGGCGTCAGCTCCTCCTAGACTGGAGTTAAGAACAGCTATCGCATTACTGTGTGGGTGATCCGAATCTAGGTCATCTGCAGAAGCAGCAAGGGCTTTTACCCACTTCATCTC